GGAGGAGGAGGAGGAGGAGGAGGAGGAGGAGTTGTTGTTAGTGGAGGAGGAAAAGGAAGAAGGAGAAGGGAGGAGGAGGAGGGAGGGAGATCTTGGTTTTGACCACAATTTGAATTTGTGGCACGTCCCACCTGCCTTCACACCCTCTGCCATAATATGATTACCTTTTTGTGCAAACCTGACTCTGGGCTGGTTTGGGTTCTCCAGGGTTTCAGCCAAAACATCTTTTGTGGTTTGATGGAGATACCAGAGTAGAAACTGGGGACCTTCTGGGCTACTAAACAGAACCTCCAATCTCAGCTCAAGTTCTCCCCTGACTCCAAGAACGAGCAAACAACCACGCACCCAGAGACCATTCATGAAGGAAATGCCCTACCTTCAGCAGCTCTACCTCCACCTGGTCCCTCACCAGGTCAGGATGCTGCCGGCGCTCCCGGCACTGCAAGTTGTCCGTGGCGATGCTGTAGGGGATCTCTGTGGCATCGATGGCTCGCTCCAGCCGCAGCTTCTGGGCCGCCAGCTGGTCAGTCTCAGCCACCAGGTCCTCAATCTCCCTCTGGAGCTCTGACTTCCAGAAGTGGATGTCCTGGAGCCTCTGGCCCACCTTAGCTGTGGAGTCCTCCTGGGTGCGCTGGGCCAACTCGGCCGTGTAATTGGCCAGGTTCTGGGACTCGTGGCGGCAGCGCTCGGAGTGGTCGCGGTCGGCAAAGGCCTCGTGATATCGGATGTAGTTGTTCTGGTGCCATTCTTCGGGCAGGAACTTGGCAGTGCGGAAGCCGGCCGTAGCCAAACCGCTGGAGGAGTCAGGACCGGTGTTCAGAGCCGGCTCGTAAACCTTCATGGGCAGCTCAGACACAGGGATGCTCTGCGGAGCAGGCTCCTGGGTGAGAAGCACGGCAGGCTGAGACATGGCTCCTGTGGCAGCTTGGCCAGGCCGGGAAATCCCCCGGCTCCCTCCAAGGCCTCGAAGATGCTTGCCTGCCACCAAAGCAGCTCTGATCAGCGTCTTCCCGTTGTTATAGGCAACGCTCCTAGCCAATGAGCAAGCTTATCTCTGCTGTAAGGAAACGGACCAGCCTCTTCGGTTTGGTGTCCTCCCGTTGCCCGGGCGATGCCTGACAGCCAATGAACCGCAGGGGGAAGTCACATCACCAGGGAGGTGGAAGGGACAAAGAGCTGGGAGCATGTACACACACACACACACACACGGCCCCAGGGGGTGTGGCAAGAAACTGGGGCACTAGGGCAGCGGAGCTGTGCTTTGTCATGATGATAAAAATAATTGCACCGTGATAAAGTAAGTGTAGACATTGACCTGGTTGTACTGAAAAACTGAAGGAGGAGAACAGGGGCATCCTTCGTCCACACTGCCATTTAAAGGGAATGTATTTAAAGTAATTACTATTGCTGGGGGAGAAAAAAAACATCAGATGATTCAAAGTTCGGCTTGTGCAAAAAAAAAAAAAAAAGCAGAGGAAACAGTAGATCCTACAAGGTGATTGCAAAATACTGATGATAAACATCCCACAGCCATCCACCCCGGAACATCTGCAAAAATTATCGTGTTGAAAAATGTGTGGGAACATAATAATATACTTGGGGGGAAAGACAGAAAATGAGCAAGGTAAAATACTGAAGGATTTCCAAATTCAAACTGGTCCAAAGTCTCGGTTCATAACACACCGGATTTTGCTGTGGTTGGAAAGAAGGAAGTGGGGGTCATGGGAGGAGCAGCCCCAGGGCAGAGCAGAATAAGAGACACAGGAACTGGAGAATTTCAGAATGCGTCAAGATCTGAAAATGAAAGTGGAAAGATGTCAATCATCCGAATGTCAATCACGGGATGATGGAGATGCTGCAATGGTTGTAATTATGAAAAACGGTCGTAAATTAGTCTCTCTGTGACTAATTTAACGAAGTCAGTAATGCACTGAGCGACTGTGGCAAGGACGGTTACAAAATGAGGCAAACTCACATCACAAACGTTTCACTTAGCAACAGAAATTTTGGGCTGAGTTGTGGTCATTAAGTCGAGGACTGTTTGCACACACAATCCTTGCTTGACCTTCTTGTCCAAGTGCACCACGGGCACCATCCTGTCAGAGCTGAAGAAGCTTCTTGGATGAGAAGCGAAACATCTTCAAAAGAAAAAATGAGAAAAATCCAGTTGCAGCCTGAAAAAAACAGCACCTGGGGAAATGTCATTGCAGCACCACATTCCTGACTCTGGTTTATGATGGTGGTGGGGGTGGTATAAATCATAAGTTATGGTGATCCCAGTGGTCACTGGGACACTGACTGAAACATTAAGAACTCTTGGACATAAAGGCATTTCCATCTGTCAATTGCGACCATGGGATTGGGTGGGAATAACCCAAAGAATTGCGAAAAAAGGGACCCCCTAATATACTATGCCAATAATTATGAAACCCTTGGTCAGTGAAAGCTAACCTTTTGGTCCTTGTGTGCCAAAAGCGTGCACATGCACACGATAGTGTGCACATGTGTGCCCACACCTACAAAGCAATGTGTGCATGACACCGTTCCATGCAACACACACCCGCTCCCTCCGCGCATGCACACGACACACCCCCGGTGCCCATTTTGGGCCTAACAGGCCTCCCTGAAGCCTCCTGGGACCAAAAATGGGCCACAGGGGGGTGCGCCCCATACCCCCCCACACACACTCCTCCCTGCACATGCACATGACCCCCCTCCCCATACACATCTCCCACATGCGTGGCAGAGACCTGAAAATCAGCTGGCCGGCAGGAGGCGTGCGTGCATGCCCGGTGGAGCTGAGTTGGGCACCGGCTCACGTGCCCAGAGAAGGGTCTGTGTGCTCCATGTGGCACATGCAGCATAGGTTCTTAGGCAGAACTCAGTGCTTATGGAGGCCAAGAGCAGCTGAAGAAACGGCAGCTGTGATTTTAGTGTTCTCAGCAGATAATATCTCTGCTTTTACAGTTTGCCTGTGAATTTTCTAGACAACCCAGCGTTGTCCAAACAACCTCTTCAATCGGGGTTGTCCAAGATGCTCATTGCAAGGCCCTGTGGCAGTTGCAGATATTTAGACATTCCATTTGCTGGCAATTCCCTTAACCTCTTCAGTTACCTGTAAAATCCAAAACAGTTCCAGGGAAGCAGATTTTCCTTAGGTTCAGCCTAGAAATTTGAGTACCTGAGAATAATGTCTATTCTCACTAATAAGCAGATGGTAAAATAAGAAATGGCATTAAATAGTATTGAAAGTAGGGCCCCAAAGGTGCTTTTTCAGAAGGCAACTGGACTTTTTTTTCTTTTCTTTCGAAGGCATTTCGCTTCTCCTCCAAGAAGCTTCTTCAGCTCTGACAGGATAGTGGGGTATTTAGCAAGCTTTGAAGTTTGAAATTTGCAACTCATAAAAAGTGATGCAAAGACTGACAGACGGGAACAATTTAAAACACAGACGAGGACTCCTTGAATGGTGACAAAACGTTTGCAACCAAATTGCCAAGCTCGAAGCTCAAACCAACAGCCTACCACCACCAACCCGAGGTACTAACTTGTAAATATGTCTGTTGTCTGTATTTGTGTGTGTATAAAATATATGCCTTATGCAGGATGCCTCTCCAGAGCAGTGCTTGTCAACCGTGGCAACTTGAAAATATGCAGACTTCAATTCCGAAAGTTCCCCAGTCAAGGTGCCATTGTACCTATCAGTAGCTTCTGGAGAGCCTATAAGGATGTTATCATCACAATCACACTTATATACCACTTCACATTGCTTTTCAGCCCTCTCTAAGCGTTTGAGTCAGCCTGTGACCCCCAACAATCTGGGATCATTTTACCCACCTCCAAAGGATGGAAGGCTCAAATCTTCAGCCAGTGTGTATTGAACTGCTGGCAATTGGCAGAATTAGCCTGCAATACTGCATTCTAACCATTGCGCCACCATAGCTGTATCCTAGCAATTGTCATAACAAGCCCATTTGATATGGCTCACCTTCCCACTTTCAGGAGCAACCTTTATGTTGCCCAAAAGCGAGGGTTGCTGTGAAACATGTCTGCTCTTTTTAAAAAAGCCGAGGTCACATCCATGCAAATCCTGGGAACTGCCCAAACGTACTGAAGGTGGACATTTGAGCTTCCATTCCAGAGAGTTAGGTTTCTGGTTCTTATGGCCACCTAGCTTATAATGCAATTTACCCGGAATGTGAAAACGAAAACTGTGATATTCAATCGGTTTTAAAAATCTTGATCCAGGATGCTTGCTGGATCTATGCCAACATAAATAGTTCCTAGAAACACAAAGGTTGCTTCCCACAGCAGCTCCTTCTGCTCCATGAACAGTAAAGCATGTGGGACCCAAAGCCTTCCATTGCTTGGGTTGGCCGAGGCTCCCATCGTACAGGTAGTCCTCGACTTACGACCAGCATTGAGCCAAAAAACTCTTGTTGCTGAGACCTTTTGTTAAATGAATTTTGCCACATTTTGCAATTTGTGGCTTCTCCATTGACTTGTAAAAAGTGATCCCGTGACCCCAAGACATTGCAACCTGTCATGGTCACATTCCAAGAGTCTGAATTTTGGTCATGTGACCATGGAGGTGGCTCAATGGATGTGTGGGAAACGGCCATAAGTCACTTCTCTCAGTACCATTGTAACTTTGAAATGCCATAAGTCAAGGAGTACCTGTACTTCAGATAGAGATTTGCAGGCTGCCAAGGTTAGAGAAAAAATTAAGATCCATTCCAATTGGATCCCCCCCCCCCCGGATCAAGTTGGCACCACTGAGAATGCATCGCTGAACAAAGCTCCACATTGGCGACAGGAAGGGCAGCCGGCCATTAAAACACTCTGCTAGCTCCATTCAGTTGCCCTGACTCCACCCTGCTAGCGATTATGAGGTTGTTAAATGAAGGTGATGATCAAGCACTTGATTAGTCATCCAAACGAAGGCTATAATCACACCAACCCAAGAAAAACACAAAAAAATGCCAGTCCCAGTATGTGATGTGCCCCCCCCCCATTGCAGCTCGCAGCCCCTGCCCCCCAAATATTCTCCGCAGACCTCAAATGACAGCTCCCCTCTGACTGGCTCCAACAATGAAAGTAAACAAAGCAGGCAGTGTCAATTTATTTTATTTAATTTTATTACGGTTTTAAAAAGGTATCTATTTCTCCAGCAGAGCAAGGTCACATTTGAAGATTTGCAGGAATTCCATTTCAAACAAAGGAGGGGGAAGGGGGGAAGAATCAGCTTTGCATTACTTCACTATAGCTCAAGTGTTTTAATATTTAAAAATTGGATTTTAGTAATATGCAAGCCAAGCTCAGCTTCAATGCAGGATACACTATATGTAAAATCTGCCCCACATTCATGTTAAGTTTGGTTTACAAGGAAAAACAGAATGAGACGAGTATCACCAGAAGGGCATCCCAATCATGTCAGATAAAATCAAATAAAAAAGTTGAACTGCGAGAGACTATATTTCTCTACTCCACCTTAAGTACTAGACAGGATCTGCTTCCAAAGAGTTATAGTCTTTCCCAAAGTCACCTGTGTAAAGGAGAGACCTCTGGGGCTATTCCATGGCCCAGCTTTTATAAGGAAATTTGCTTGTGACACAACCCACTTCTCTTACATCATGCAATCGAGATGATGATTATTTTGGCAGGAGAGTGAATATTTTTGACAGCAAATAGAGTTTGTTTTTTCTTTTAAAAAACAGTAAAGTAAAAAGTTGAAGCTTTACAAGCACACAGACTATAAGGGCAGCCAGCTTATTATCCAAGCTTAGGTTGTGTGTGTGGTTTTTTTTCTCTTTGCCAAAAAAAAAAAAAAAAGATGGCACCATTTTTTTTAAAAAAATGCTCAGATAATTTTGTTCAGAGGAGCTAGACTGAAAGCAAAGCTTCGAAGCACAGAAGAGTTACTCTAGTCTAATTGGTAAGAGGAAGGAAGGGGGGATGGGAATAAATTCCACACAGACATGGAGAGCTACAGGCTCCCTTCTTTTATCAGTCTACCTGGGAAGCAACCTTGACCACCTGTCTAAGCATTTTGGGCTGGGCTCGTAACTACTTTGGAGAAAGCAGGGACCAAAAACCCTCAGCAAAGCTCCATACTCATTCAGTGCACCGGTGATTTAAATCAAGGAGTCTGTGCGTTTTATCAGTGGCCCAAGGTCTCCTTTCTCCTTGCCAGGCCAATTCCTTCTGTCTGTCTGAGCATTATTAGATGGCTCTGCTCACTAGTCGGGTGGAACGGTTACAATTTTATTCGTTTCTTTGTTTTTTATTTTGTTTTTTTGGCAGAATTTTTAAAAAAATCTTTTTGCACTAATCTTAATCCTGCACCCATCAACATTTAAGTGCTTTAATTCTCCAGAGAGAAATGCTTCTTTGAACCACGAAAGAACCACCCCACCCAGACACCCTGCAGTCTGGATTCTCTCATGAAATCAAGAAGCCATCCATGAGCTGCACTGGCAATCTTTCAAAAGAACATTTAAAAGATAAATGCAACCGGAGACTCGAGGCTGGAAATTAATTTTAAATTCTCGTAGTCATTTTTTTTTTAACTTTCAAGATGCAATTAGCTGTGTTTTGGTTTTTTTTAAAATATCCACGAAGTAAATGAGAACATCCGTGGCCTTTTAAAGTTGGCGTACCCTGTGCTTCACACTGCACTTTTTTTCCAAAGGCAAAAACAGGGGTGCGCAATTCAACAGGTCCCCTTACTGTTGCCCAAATCCTTCTTGAAGTAGCCCCCACACACACAAACACCCAATTGTAAGGACGTCTGCTGCTTAGACAGGTCTCCATGGATCTGATACCACCATTCCCAAATGAAGAGAAATAGGAAGCCTTGGGAGAGACGAGAGATCTGGGGGAAAACATCTGACTTGAAGGGGCAATGAAGAGGCTTCTAAACTAAGAATCCTACAGTGCATTTAGCTGCCCAGTCAAGCAACGTTCAAGGGGAATCTGGTTCCAAAGCTATTTTGAAACTCTGCAAACTGCCCTTTTGCAGCAGAGGCAGACTAGAGGTCCCATCATCCTCAGCCAGAAGGCAAGGGACGAAGGGACTGTAGCCAAACACACCTGGTGGGCACCAGAATGGAGGAGACTAAACTACCATTTTCAAACTCCCAGGGCTTTTGGGCGAGTTGTTACAATTCTTTCTTTTGATAAAAAGGCAATATATAAAAAGGCAGGATATAGAATTAGCAGGTATTCTTAATCAAATAGTCTTAAAATTAGTTAGGCTGCCATTCTTCCCATAAAGTATCAGAGATGATTGAATATGATACATTAATTTGCCCAAGTCTGCACATTGAATTAATAGTTGAACTGGGAAATAGTTTGCTCTCTGAAGTCCACATCTAACAGCTAGTCCATTTATGCAATCAATCTTATTCATTTTTTCCCTAGTACAATAGGGATCTGTCTTTGAGAAATATCTCTCCTGACTTCTTTTTGAAGAAGCATTATTTTTGTTTCAAAGTTGGCTTTAACTTTGAATAATTTTTTCCTATCATTTGACTTTAGGATACTGTCATGGTCAACTGCGATAAAATTTACATATTATATTAAGTGATAATTTCTGTAACCAGATTTTATAAAATAAATAACTATTGGGTAGAACTGTCGAGCCCCGGCCTGGGGCTCATGATACTGGGTGGTGGTGGTAATGCAGCGGGAGCAATGAATGAGTCAGCAAGCCAGGCAGTGGCTTGCCGGCGGTGGGCCTACAGCTGACACCACCTAATGGCTGCCATGTTCCTTGATGAAACTGCGCTGCCCAGTGGATCAGTCTTGGCAGCCTGCTGCAGTGGCTATGCACTATGGAGGACTTTGCCACCAGATGGATGTTGGCCCTGGCGGATTCTGTGGTGGCTGGACATACACTGCCCTAACACTGATGGGCGCTGGATGGTGGTTACCGGTGGGCGTGGGCAGCCAGATGGACAGGGGTGGGGCCCAAAGACTCAAAAAGACTGGGACGTAGACGCTCACAGCGCTGACTTTACAAGTAATCTCTTACCTATTTGTCGCGCTCTGAGATCCTGGCCTGTATGTAGGAATTAAAGCAAAGTTTTGCCGTGTATGGGTACATGTCCTGCCTCCCTTTGTTTGTACCAGGTCTGGCCTATACCAGCTGAGAGAAACTTTCTAAACCCAAACCAACAAAAGAGTTTGTGGCTTAAATTTTTGTGGGACCCAGGTGAGTATACTGATGTCATCATAATTACAAACTTCTCAGAGCTAATTTGCATCAGCTGAGCCCAGCTTAACCTTTTTATGAAATCAAATGTCAAAGAGGTTTGGGGAGGCATACTAATTTTGAACCACAAAAATCTAGATGAAAACAAAGTTATTTATTCTCTTTGTTGCCATCTGGAATGTTGTTTGGATTTTATGAAATGTACACCTGTTATTCCCAATATGGGAGTATCCCCACCATTAAGGCTTTCTGATTGCAGGAAACACCTTATATCTGGAAGTATCACTTATCAGATCTGCCTGAAAAGACAACTTAGAATAGGGGTGTCAAACTCATGTTGTCACAGTGGTGTCACATGATGTATCAGGACTTTTTTAATCCTTTAAACCAGGTGTGGGCATGGCTATCACATGATGCATCTGGCCCATGGGCCAGGAGTTTGACAGCCCTAACTTAGGAAGTCAGACTAATAGCAATAGCATTTAGGCTTATATACCACTGGTAATGCTTTACATAATTCTCTGGGTAGTTTACAATGTAAGCATTATTTACGTACTGCCCCCAACAATCTGGATCCTTATTTTACCAACCCTGGAAGGACAGAAGGCTGATTAACCCTTGAGTTCAGTCAGGATTGAACTTTGCCGTTAACACAGCACTTTAACCACTGTGCCACCAGGCCACATTAGCAAATTCTAATGAAAGGCAATCCTATTTCCATCATTATCTCTTACTTACACAATTCATACATTACACTCCATTATTCTTGGAATGTCTACATTCAGCATACCTTGATGCTGCATTTGATATATATTTCCAATGTGTTGTTTGGTTGGTTATTTTAAGTTTTCTTTTAGCAAGACTTTTATCTGAAAAAATCCTAAATAAAAGCATAATGCAGTCATATGAGTGATTCCTGCCCAAATGTAAAGAATAGCAGTATGTTTCAAAGATATGAACAATGTAAACTGAAACTGTTCTCCTAATTTCTTCATTATCAAAATGAACATTATGTACTACAGTCAAAAGGATTGTATTTTTAAAGTAGTCATGCCACTATAACAGCTGTGTAAGGTGCTGTGCATTAATATCAACATTAACTATACTTTCCATGCTATCTGATATGGTTGTTATTGTTAGTTGCGAAGTCATGTCCGACCCATCGTGATCCCATGGACAATGTTCCTCCAGGCCTTCCTGTCTTCTACCATTCTCTGGAGTGCATTTAAGCTCAGGCCGACTGCTTTGGTGACTCCATCCAGCCACCTCATTCTTTGTCTCCCCTTCTTCTTTCCCAGCATTGAGTTCTTCTCCAGTNTCTCTCTCTAAAGGAAGCATGTGAGTCTTGCTTGCCAAGTCACGCTGTTGACGCTGTTGTCTAAAGTGGCAATACTGTTGAAGCAAAGATTGAAACACAGCAAGAAATAAAGGACAAAAAGCATTCTATAACCAAATAAAATGTCTGATATTTCCTTTCTTCCCTTTAAGAGTACATGTAAGGTCACTTTTAGCCTTGGAATGGATGTGTGATCTAACCTGCGATGAGCTTGCTAGCTACTACACAACGTTGGAAATCCTCTTGCTAAAGAATCTACTCTGAGGAAAGGCATAGAGGTTCGAGAGGAGTCTGCCCTCCGGGTGTAATTCTTTCTTTTATGGCCATGTTTTGTGTGACTCGCGAAGGGAGAACCTCAAGTTTGTTTTCCCAGTGGGCGGATGAGCACCAGTGGGCGGGGTTTTTTTGTTTTTTGTTTTTAGCAAAGGGGCCAGGGGGGGGGGGAGGGTGAAAACAATTGTTGCCATTTAGATCATACGGTTGCGTTTATGGGTCGGGGAGTCCGTAATGCCATCACCGCACTGGGCTGAGGTACGCTTTCTAGTTCCACCATTGTCCAAGTGGAGTGCCATTTCTTCAGATATGAAAGTGTTCAAGTCAACATCATGGAGTCCGTTTCTCCTTCGACTCCCGTTGGAGCCACTGCTCACGTGAGTGGGGGAGCCCGGGGTGCTCGAGCGGACGCTGATGCTGGCCATTGCGCCACTGAGACCTGCAAGGGAGGGAAGGAAAGAAGGGATTAGGACGCTCTGGGAGCCAGGCTTTCTCCACCAAGCGGTTCTGACCCAGGCTTCCCCCAGCAGCACGAAGCCAAGCCCTCATCCCGATATACCCCTTTTATGTAATTTACAGTGAATTCCTCTCCAGCAAAGTCTTTCCTCTCCCCCAGTCTTTCAAGATAGTTCACAATCAACAACCTTTCTTAGGCTTGGAGAGCGGCCAGGCCAAGATCTTTCAAATGCCCAATACTTGACAAGAATGCAGAAATGAACTACCGTATTTTTCAGAGTATAAGCATAATCTTTATTGTCATTGTCATTGAAATTCCTTCAAAAGAGTCTGAAAATCTGGTATACACTGAATACAGCATTTTTTGCATCCTGAAACTCCACATTATAATGGCTGTGCAGAGTCTGTATGAGGCTTCCAGAGAGCTCCTAGGGGCTGGGGAAGACAGAAATGAGCGACAAACGGCCTGTTCCCCGCCCCCCAGCAGCACTCTATAAGCTTCCTAAAGGCTATCCGTGCCCTATTTTTGACGAAAAACGGGCCGTTTGGGGGAGGTTTGCAGAGTGCAAAAACTTGTTTTAAATTTTCCTCTTCAAAACCTTGCTGTGCCTTATACTCCAGTGCGTCTTATACTCTGAAAAATTCAGTAATTGTCTCCTGCAAACACCCCTCCCCTTTTGCTCCTCTTTTATTCTCTATGGGAGGGGCCATTCACCATCCACCTGTGGTCTCACTCCCAAGTTGTCACTTGTTCCTTAACTATTTCCTTTGGCTGACCACTCTGCAAATGCGCACACAGGGAACAGGCTCCAGCTGTTCGTCTGCCTCACTGATGTCTGACTCCAAAGGCATCTGATAACTTTCAGACGGCCCTGGCCCCATGTGGTCGATGTTCCTCCCCAACCTCCTCATTGTCTGAATCTGCCGATAGCTCTGCTGGGCGCTGGGGGACCACAACAGAAGCTGACAGGTGCTCTAAGTGGGGCGAGAAGCTAAAGAACAAAAGATGCCTGTTTTCCCTCGACATCCACATTGATGTGAATCCACAAAATCACCCTAGACCACATCACCAGTGAATCGTTTACAGTTTGGAACCCTTATAAAGGTTTCTGCTCTTGGAGGCAACTTAATACAAATAGCAGATCTGCACCCTTCACGAGAGGACACGGCGCTTACTTGGAGCTTCTGGGTGCTGAGCAAAAGGTCAATTAGAGAGCAGGGGTCCTCAAACCCTGTTACGTGGACTGGCATTGGCCGTGGCATGCCAGAAACCGGGCCACACAAGGAAGCAAAGGCTCACCCGTTTGGTACAGGCAGCATGCAAGACCAAGCCATCACCGGTCCACGGGGAAAAACGCTCTCTACAGAACTGGTTTTCGGTACCCAAAAGGTTGGGGGCTGAATTACAGCATCATCAGGATTTAGGCTCACAGTTGGAGAGGGTTTTGGAAGTGCCCCACAGATTCCCCGGGGATCTGTTCAGAGAGGTCAAGCCAATCTTCTCTAGCACAAAGATACAGGTAGTCCTCAATGTATGATCACAAGCAAGCACAAACTTTCTGTTGCTAAGCAACTGCTAAGTGAATTTTGCCCCACATTGTCACCTTTCTTGGCACAGCTGTTACATTAGCAACATGGTTGTTCAATGAATCGGGCTTCCCCATTGAGTCTGCTTGTCAGAAGGACGGCAAAAGGGGATCACGTGATTCTGAGACACCGCAACGGACATAAATATGAACCAGTTGCCAAGCACTTGAATTTTGGTCACGAGATCATAGGGATGCTGCAAAGGTGGTAACTGAAAAATGGCCATAAGTCACATTTTTCAGTGCCACTGTTATGGTCACTGAATGAACTTTTTGTTAAGTCGAGGGCTACCTGTACTCTAAACTGATGAGCACAAAAAGATTACAATCTGCGACATATGAAGAACAGAATTTAACCAGACTTAGGTTCTCTGCGCATCCGGTGTGCTCTGCTCCCCCAGAAGCAAAAGGGTTGGCTTTGCTGCAGAAATACCCATCCCCCAGCCTCCCCCCATCCCAAAGTTTAGCAAGCTGCATAAATAAAACCAGAGCCTTCAGAATATCCCTACACCTAGAAGGAGGAAAGGGAAGTAGAGAAGAGAGGAATGGTAGAGGAAAGAAAGGAGGTAGGGAAGAACAGAGAGGGAGAGGAGATAGGACGGCACTGAAATAGGATATAATATGATGTATTGAAAGCAGAAAAGCAAATGACAGCTGTTCTGAGTTGAGGGAAAGATATAAGAGTGGACAACACACACAAATAATTCTGTTCAGATGTAATGATATACTTGTGGTTATATGTATGAAATTAAAATAAAATAAAAAACGAATATCCCTCCACCTCCAACTAAGCTCAACCTCTCCAAGAAATTGGCCAGATAGCTAGCAGAAGTCCTTCAGATGTCCAATGACTTGCAAGTCCCAAAGATGCTTTTTACAAAAGGCAACCTAACTTTTTTTTAAAGGTTTTACTTCTCATCCAAGAAGTTTCTTCAGTTCTTGGATGAGAAGCAAAACATTTTCAAAGAAAAAACCAAGACAGGCCAGTTGAGTTGGGAGGGGTGGGGGAAGCACCTTGGCTCAACCATGGCCTGGATGATAGATAGAACCAACCCTTGCAGAGTCCTTTCAAGAAGTCCCAATTCTGGAATGGGAGGCTCCTGGTTTCCTTAGACCACTTGGAAACCAACTAATAAGAGGGGCATGGAGCTAGAGCAGAATTCCAGCGAATATACCAAATCTGCAACAGACTCAGAAAACGAACGCTCACAATGAAGTAAGAAATGCAATGCCAGAATTAACCCCCAAAAAAGTTTCTTTCAATATGTAAGGAACAAGAAAAAGTCAAAAGGTAGGAAAGGTCCACTAATGGGAGAAGAAGTACTCAAAATTGTCTGCTATAATGTCTTGACCGTCAACAACCTCTTCAGCTTCAACCTCAACAATACACAGGCAAACAATCGATACAAACTCAAGGTAAGCCGCTCCAAACTCGATTGCAGAAAATTCAGCAACAGAGTGGTCAACGCCTGGAATGCTCTACTTGACTCCGTTGTTACATCCCCCCACAGCGTCAATCTCAAACTGTCTACCGTGGACCTTACCCCATTCCTAAGAGTTCCGTAAAGGGGGCCTGCATAAGCGCACCAGTGTGCCTATCGTCCCTGTCCTATTGTCCCCATTTATCTATATTTACTTCCTTTGTTCATGTTTATGTTCATATACTTGTTATCTTGTACGTTTGACAAACAAACAAACAAACAAAGATGGCAAGGTGGAGACAGGCAGCAGGGAGAAAGGGCGTTGGTACTTACCTGATACGCCTCTTCTCATAGTGGGGGGAGGAGTATCCAGAGTGGGTTGACCTTGTCCTCTCATGATTGGATGAGTCAGATAAGCTCTTTGGGCAACGGCCCCTGGCCATCAGATATTCCCCATATTTGACGAAGAGCTCTATCTGACTCGTTGCACCATTCACTCCAGACTCTTAATTCAGT